GTCTTGTCTGTCTGTCTGTCTGTCTGTCTGTCTGCCCGTCTGTCTGTCTGCCCGTCTGTCTGCCCGTCTGTATAACATGTCCGCGTGGCCCACGGAACTGCACGCCCTTCTAAAATCCGAGTCGATGCTGCTGGTCAGAGCTCAGCCTTGGCCATAATCCGCCCGCCGCCCCGCCCGACTACCAATTAACCCACCCACCTACCTCGACAACACCCTACCCACATCCACCCACCGGCTGCTGCACTACGGGAACTGGCAGCTATTTTTTAACCCTTCCCCCCTTGGTGTCCCCCCTCCCCGTTCCACCTGCTCGACATTTCATTTCCGCTACTCTGCCATCGCGACGATCACCGCCAGCCTTGCCCGCCAGCCTGCGTCATCACTCCACCAAAAGAGCTGCCATGTCCTACTACCCCGGCCAGCAGTATCACGGCGGCTACAACCAACCGCCGCCACAAGGTGGCTATGGTGGCCCGCCCCCGCAGGGAGGATATCCGCCTCCACAGCAAAACTACGGCCAGCCGTGAGTACCACGACAAGAACGCGGGGAAGCCTGACCGCGTGCTGACGTACATCAGCCCTCCCCAACAGTACGGCTACCAGAGCCCCCAGCCCCCATACAACAGCGGCTACGGACAGCCTACCCCTCCCCCGCAGCAATACGGATACAACCAGGTGCGCACTTGGATCGCCAAAACGCGGTTATCCGCCGTCGACTTTTGGGGGAAATGGAACAGGCAGGCTGACGAGCTATAGGGACCACCTCCGCAGCAGCAATTCGGAAACTATGGAGGCCCACCACCACCACCACAGCAGACTCCGCGCCCAGGTAAATAAATCCTCATGCTCATTGCGGCTACCGGCAAAGAAGACGCGAAAAAAACTGACAATTGCACCAGGCATGATGCCAACGGCCACCAGCAACCAATGGACACACGGAAACCACAACGCGCCTCCACCACCGCCCACGGGCGCTCAGAACTTTGGCCAGGGCGCCCCCAACGGATACTCGTTCCAGTACTCGGCCTGCAACGGCCGGCGGAAGGCGCTGCTGATTGGCATCAACTACTTTGGCCAGCGAGGCCAGCTTCGGGGCTGCATCAACGACGTCAAGAACATGAGCACCTACCTGAACGAGTTCTTTGGGTACAAGCGCGAGGATATGGTGACCTTGACCGACGACCAGCAAAACCCCATGAGCCAGCCGACAAAGGCAAACATACTGCGAGCCATGCACTGGCTGGTCAAGGACGCGCGGCCAAACGACTCGTTATTCTTCCACTACTCTGGTGCGTTGCTCTGAACTGGGCCAATTACAGCATACTAACGCCATGCAGGACACGGCGGCCAAACAAAGGACCTGGACGGCGACGAGGACGACGGCTACGACGAAGTAATCTACCCGGTCGACTTCCGCACGGCAGGCCACATTGTTGACGACGAAATGCATCGCATCATGGTTGCGCCTCTCCAGCCCGGAGTCCGACTGACCGCCATTTTCGATTCCTGCCACTCGGGTTCCGCCCTCGACCTGCCCTACATCTACTCCACCCAGGGTGTCCTCAAGGAGCCCAACCTGGCCAAGGAAGCGGGCCAAGGATTGCTTGGCATTGTGTCGAGTTATGCGCGTGGTGACATTGGCAGCATGATTGGCGGCGCCACTAGTCTGTTTAAGAAGGCCATGAATGGTGATGAGGTGTACAAGAAGAACCTACGGACAAAGACTAGCCCTGCTGATGTTATCATGTGGAGCGGCTCCAAGGACACACAGACTTCGTAAGTTTTGTGCCGGTATTCCAAGCACCCGTGGCATTACTGACATGACCAAAACAGAGCCGACGCGAGCATTGGCGGTGAGGCGACCGGAGCCATGTCATGGGCTTTTATCACTTCGCTGCGCAAAAACCCCAACCAGAGCTATGTGCAGCTACTCAACAGTATCCGTGACGAGCTCGAGGGCAAATACGATCAAAAGCCTCAATTAAGCTGCAGTCATCCACTCAGTAGGTCTTGTAGGCCCACGTGTCAATTGCGAAAACATGCTAACTGACTCACAGACACGGACCTCCTATACGTCATGTAGACGTTTATCAATGACGTGAAATGGTTAATGTTGCTGCTGCTGCTGTTGTTGTTATTGATGCTGCCCATAGAATGACTAGCTCTATGGATTACAGGGGGAAACTTTGCTCGCCCAAAACCAATGATACCCCTGGCACACCCTTTTTTTTGAAACATGAAGAGAGAGAAGATGAATAAATAAAAGGGTTAATGTGAAGATGAACATTAAAAAGACGAAGAGATGGAGCAAAAAAAAATAACAAAATAACAACATCACAAGAGGCATAACGTATGTGGCAAGCGAGCGCCGCAGGCAAGCGAGCGCCGCACCCCACCAAACCTGCGCACCTCTATAAGCCTGTAGTTCCACACAATATAGTTG